GATGGTGTCCCGGTTATGTTGTGATGGTGTCCCAATCATGTTGTGACGGTGTCTCGGTCATGTTTTGATGGTGCCCTGGTCATGTTGTGATGGTGTCCCGGTTATGTGGTGATGGTGTCCAAGGAAGAGATGGTCGATGTGTTGAAAACAGCAGCTGTTTCCAGATTTTTCTTTTTGTCCCGGTTTGTATCTTGCTATTGGGGTCTTCAGCTGGGCTAATCTCTGCTTTGCTTTGCTTTATCTTCCTCCTCTTTCTTGTTTCTGCCCACTCATTCTATCAATATCTCGTATATAGATTAATTGTCTCCTTCATTCCTTGGCACCTTCCTAACAGAAAATCATTCCAACTCTTGCGCTCATCATGTGTCACACGTCCAAAGAATATCCTCCCAGATGCCAATGTTTCCAAAGGTCTTGCTCCTGTCACTAGTTTTGCTCGCTACTAGCTACAATACTTCTCCCTCGCTCCTATCTCTAATGCCCCCGATTCTCAGCATCGTTCCCCCCTTCACACCGCAACCTGGTGCGCAAAGCCTACCTGGCGACAGGAAGCCCGGAACCAGCGGACAAGTCACTGTTTTGGGAAGTCGACTCGTCAACCAATGCTAAGTCGAAGTGGGCGCCTGGGCGTTGAAGCGCGGATTGGAGCAGTCTTCATCAATTTCCATGAGACACTTCTATACGTTACTAGCACCAAGAGAGGTTGGGAGACCTTGTAGATCTTATAGGACCCCGTAGTGGCACATATGGGATGGGCCCCCGAGATGCTGATTTTGCGCCCTTGGCAACATCCGAAGTCTTACAAGGATTCAAACGCTGCGCGATCTTGTCATTCTAAGGAAAAATTTGGATCCGACCCAGTTGCCACTTCTCAGCTGCAAGTGCTGCACCGAGACTTTTGCTTGAGGAGCAGTGCCCTTTAAGTGTGGCATCAGGGTTCAGCAGTGCACCCCGTGCTGGACTCTTGCACGGCCTTCGCTGGCCTTTCCCTGGTAGATGCAGGTGGACGACCTTTTTCCTTGACGCGCGGGCCGTGTGCCTACTTAGCTTTGCTGGTACAAAGTTGCAGTCAGTCGACTGACAAGCACTGCTGTGACCCACACCTGGCGTGGTTTTGTTGGAGAAACTTGTCCGGAACAGCTTGGCCTTTCCACCACGCTCCCTTGCAAGGTCCTTCAAGTTTCTCCTTTCCTTTTAGCGGCTTCAATCTTTAAGCTTTAAGCCTTCAATATGTTTTTGTGAAGGAGACTTCCTCCTACAACAGTACGGTTTTCCTAAAGAATGTGCTATGCCAAATGCAAATGTATAAACATAGTGCCTGTAGTGTGACTTTTCCCAGAGCTACTAGTTACTAGTGTTCTTTGATTTTCCAAGAGAAGACTAACCATTTTGCCAACAAATCGTATTGCCTTGATTTTACTGCAGGTTTGACAAACGGCTCAAGTGTTCTTGAGGAAGTCGGACTGCAGGCATGCAAGGTCCCTTTTGGTGAACACGAGTGGAAGCCTGCATAGCAGGCAGGGAATTGTTAGAGACCAGACATCTTCAAGAGTCTTGAATCTACATCTACATGATCAACAGAGTCAACTGGCAACACAGCAAAATCTCTCTCAGTGGATCAGCTGATCAGAGGTCTATTACAGATTGTATAGTGTACAAACCATGTTTGCATGTATACATGCTTGACTAGAGCTCTGGCTTCAGCGAAGGAATGACCAGACAGACACTGTGAATCAAGACGGAGTGTGAGACTCGTGTTGGGCTGGCTTAGTCTAGCCCCCTATGCAAAACTTCTTTTGGGGAGTGTCGAATTCAAGATCTGCAGCCAGTCTTATTAGTGTTAGTGCCACAGAAAATAGAAAACAGACCTCAATCTTCTGCAATAGAAAGAGAGGTCACAGAGAGGCCTCACAGATGAGGATTGTCGTTTCGGCCGTACCAACCACATGGTGACTGTTCGTTCGAGGCACTTTCTATCCGAAAACTTCCGATTGCA